TCTTCGCAGCGGCATTTCCGCCGACCAACCAATAAAGGGTCCCGGCAATTCGGTTCTGGGCCTTGGTCTCTCCTGGGCAGAATTCTCACCATATCCTCCGACTACCAGCTTCCAACTCGACTTGCTCGCGTTCGGGGCCGTACCTCTTCTCATCCAAATGCGGCCACGATGAATTCTATTGAGAGCAACGGACCTCTGATAGCGGGCATCACATGGTTTCTCTGCTTCTTCTGTGGCGCCTTCCTGGCGTTACGAGTGTACGCGAAGTTAAGCAGGGGACAGAAGCTGTGGTGGGATGACTACATCTTTCTTTTCTCGTGGGTACGTATATAAATTCTTAACGAGGTATCTGTTTTTCTGACTATCTGACAACTAAACTGACGGTGGCTTGCAGACTTGTCTCTTTGTCGAATCGATCATCACCCAAATGGGCGTGAACTTGGGTTTCGGCCGTCACTATTACGACATCACTCCCCAGGCCAATCTTCTAACGATTGCCATGTATACCTCAGTAGGCGCATCAATATCGTGCTTTGCTTCGACTGGTAGCAAAGTTGGGTTTGGTGTAACCCTCCTTCGGCTCACGACGGGCTGGTTCAGGATATTTGTGTGGTTCGCCGTCGTGACATTGACGGTGGTCATGCTTCCCAGCGCGACCTTGACATGGCTGAAGTGCACCCCGGTGCAAAAGAACTTCAACAGACAGATGCCAGGGACCTGCTGGGATGAGTCTGTGACGCTCAACTACGGCATCTTTAACGCGGCTTGGTGCGCGTTCATGGACTTTGTGTTGGCGATAATCCCCTGGAAGCTCATTTGGGGGATGCGGTTGAGAAAACACGAGAAGCTAGGCGTTTGCTTTGCGATGAGCCTAGGCTGGTTGTATGTTTTTGTTCTCAAGTCGTCGTACTATCTTACCTCATGCTGACTTATCACCACAGGGCAGGCGTATGCGCCATCATCAAGGGCATATATCTTGTTCAACTAGAACAAGGTGACTTTTTCTGTGAGTTGACTAGTTGCTCTTGCATTTGGCTTTTGTAATCTTTCTAACATTTGCACCCAAGTCAACGGAAAGGACGTAACTATCTGGACCGCTGTGGAAACGGCCACAGCAATAATTGGATCATCGATTCCAGTCTTACGAGTCTTTATCAAAGAAAAGGCATCTACCCTTGGCTACGACAACAAAGTCAACCACGATGATAGCAACGAAAATTCAAACAACGTGGAGCTCAACACGTATCGGAGCGTGATTACCTCTACAACGCGGAAGGGTACCCTATCGACGACGGAAGAGACCGATTTGGATGGCGCACGGAATCTCCCACGGAGCGGAAGCTGTCTTTTGGTGGACATACCAGACTTCAAGCTTGAGGGAATTGTGCGAGCTCGGAGCGTGGATGAAGAAAGTCAAGGCGGGTCAGACGATGATCAGAAGTTTAGTAATCATGATCGGGTCGACCACAATGTCCATAGCCAGGAACAAATCAGGTATGTTGGCCCTATATGGCGTGTATACTTTTGCTAACCCTTTCCAGGGACGAGCGGGAGTTTTATGGAAGAGCGCTCTGATCAAGTCGTTCTACTGAGAATGGGAGCCAGAAGCATTACGCGTAAGAAGACAATTACGCGAAGGGGGGAATTACTGACTCTTGTGTACTAATGTTTTTTGAATGAGAGCAAAGACCTCTGATGTCGAAGGCTTGATGATACCTGGAGTATTTCCACTCCGCTATAAAGTAATGACAGTAATGAGAATCATGAAGTAATCTTACGAGTTGATACCATCGTTCTCTAAATTGACCATGCTGTTTTGTAAGAATTTAGCCACAAAGAGTTTAGATGTGCCAAAGAGTAAATTGTAAGATACTTTATGCAACGGCATTCTAAGATTCCTATGGTCACCGGTATATGGCGTCATATGCCGTTGACGATTTTTCCGGAACGGTCATGAAAGGATCTGCAACAACCGCCTTCTTGATCTCATCCTCCGAGACCTCCTGCTTGAGAAGCCATCCGAGGCCTCTGAAGATGTCAAGGTTTGCCTTGAACGCGGACTTGACACCAGGGAATATGAAATGTCCATGCGGAGCGCCGGGATACACATCTAACCGGGTTTCCACCCCGTGTGCTCTGAGAGCTTTCTCGTAAACCAGCCCGTCATCCCGGAGGAAGTCCAGACCTCCAACCTGCACAACTGTTCGTGGCATTCCGACATGGGGATTCTTCGAGTTGAAAGGCGAATAATCCACTGATTTGATGTCTGCCTTGTAATTGGCAGCAAGATAACCCCAGGCTGCTTTACTGAAGATCGGAGCCTCGGCGTTCTGCTCTCTTGCGAGGAAGATGTCTTTGTACTTTGGAGGCACTATGTCGTCCTCGAGGAAGAGCGGAGCCAGGAGCCAGACACCGGTGAGAGGAGCTCCGAGCTTCGTCGCGCCATCAACCATCTTCTGTGCCATGACGGCCGCAAGGTTTGCGCCAGCAGATGGGCCTCCGATAACGAAGCCTGCGCTCAAGTCGCCACCTAGTGTGTGCGCATTCTCAGAAACCCACTTGAGCCCATCTTCAACATCATTGGGGGCCGCGGGGAAAGGGTGTGTGGGTGCCAGACGATAGGAAAGGTTGATGACAGTGGCATTGAAGAGCTTTCTGGCGATTCTGGCCCAGGGGCTCATTTGGTGACAGTCACCCATTGTGAAGGCGCCTCCATAGATGAGAACGATGACTGGGGACTTTGCGCCTGTTGACGTGGAGGGCTTGTGGACGCGGGCTTCTTGTTGGCGGCCCCCATCGCGCATTGGGATTTGGATAGTGTACTCGAATTCCGTGTCTGGGGCTGGGGGAGCTGACTCTGGCAAGGGATGCCCACCTGCCAGGTACTGGAGTATGGTTAGTGGCCGAGTCAGTTCATGCCAACGAGCCTTGACTGACCTCTGCGATCTCTGGACTTCAACGAGGGTCAGTCCACTTTGTTCCAGACTTTTGAAATTTCGCTTGCGGTTGATACTCACTCGATGACGCTCAAGGCAGCGAGCTTCTCTTTTGTGTCATACTCCATCTTGTCCACAGACGTCTTGTTCTCAAGAGAGCCCATTGATCCAGTCTATTGCCTGAGCAAAAGTGCAAGTGTTGGAAATGTGTGGGATAGCGGTGCGCACGAGGGAAAAAAAATTGGATTGAGAAAATCTTCCAACAGCGAGCGGCCACTGTCAATTTAAAGCAAAGCCGCATTCGTTATCTGATGTGACGGAATCTGGTTCCAACAGAGCTAAAAGATTACATGTTTGTTTAGTCCCAACGGCAGCGCTACTATCGGACTTGGTCTCCGCACCCCGATTGTCCGAGGGACCACAATGTGTTCGCTTCGATGGTCATTATTGATCTGCTCATGGGTAAAAAGCAAATCCAGCAAATGAAACGAATCCCCCCGCGGAAAGCCCCTCTTCTAGTGCAACGAGGCATCCCACGTCAGCACAATAACCATGCGAATTTTCGGTGTTTGGCCAACGAAAAGTCCCTTTTGGCAAACCCAGCCCGACGGTCTGGCTGCAAATGATGTTACATTGAAGATGCGCGTGCGAGGCCCAGTTCGGAGAAAGCAAGTCTTGGCGATGTTTGTGTCCCACAAATACCATTCATACCGAGCAAACGCTCCTCTTCGAGACCATACCTCCAAACATTTGACCAAGTCGAGCCTCTTATCTGTGATACTCTCGGACGGGACATTTCAAACACAGTCTTTTCTACCTTAGAATAACTTACTGCATGTGTTAAATTAGGTATTCAGTGCGGACATTTCTTCGGCTGAGGAGAACCTTGGCCCGATTAAAAATTCCATTGATCAGGATACCTTGTCTGTGGTGAAGCCCTCCTTTGTCGTGTTCTTTGACACGAGAACACAGAAATTGTCCTAAAAAGTTTTCAGAAAAGGTTTGAAGGAGACAACTCGGAAAGACTGATTTAGCCTAGGTGCTCTAGGTCACTGTCCTGTTTCAGAAGAGGCAGTTGACAATGGCTTAGTCTAAGGTGTCAGACTGATCCATGGAACAAGACTTCTTCGCACCCATGAGTGCTGGTGAAAGACGACAGGCAACATCCACTTGCCGACTGAAAACGATAAAAGTGCCACTATGGAATAGCTCTTGAAGCTTCCTGCAACTCATTCTCAACTCATCATTTCATCGCAACACTCTCAACTTCAACTCAACGCTCCACGAGCATTCTTCATCCGACATTAGCAGCTTCAAGCATCGATCGAACTAACAGACTCACAACTCAGTTTACATCACAGCCATGTGCAACTACATCCTCAACGTCACCAAGTGCCGCCAGTGCGGCCGCACTATCAGCTCGTCCCAGTCTGACTTCGTCTACTGCCCGTCATACAGAAACGGCATTAGATGCCAGACCATTCAGCGCGACTGTCGCACTCAACTAGTCTGCTGCTCTAGTTGCCAGAGGGCCTACCACTTTGAACCTCCTGTCAATGGCTCTAATATATTCGCTGATAAGGAGTATGGTTCCGACTCTGAGGATGGTTTTGCTCCATCTCAGTAGTGGAAATAGGTTGCGACGGTAAGTAGACTGATCTACGGTTTTCGAGAACTCTTTTCATAAGTTGTTGGCAAGCGGGTGCGATTTTACATTCCAAGTTTAGTATCGGTCTTCTGCGCAGCTAGAATTAAACTTCTCTTCGCGAACTCAATCAGCAGATGTGAACTTGTAGGTCCAAATTCACCGTCTATGTTTCCAATCATGCAGCCAGTGATACGTGTATAGTGATTGTACAGGGGATTTACTGCATTATTTATGTAACTGGGCCCTTGGTCTACTTCGAAACTTCACAGATCCCAAATTTTCGATCAATCGAGTTGTTCGTCTTTTGGCTGATCAACTTTCATAAGTGGTAAATGTGATCTTTTGTAGTTTGACACCACTCTGCCATCAAAAACCAGATGTGAACATAAACCTTCTCTTATGGGTTCTATGGGTTATTAAATGGGCAGCGTCGCATTAACCTGGAGGCAAGTTCCCAGTCTACCCCCCTCCAGTCTCGATGTCGCATTAACAACATACTCCTGCAGCGGCGGCGTGCCGCACTTGAGGCCCAACACGAAAGCCCCAGCAAACGAATCCGCCAGCTTCGGCGACATGTGCACGGCATCCATGGGATAACCCTCGACAGCCGCCTGCTGGCCCTGCACCTGAAGGGCCTGGGCGCTGTAGTTGCCATGCGGAACGTAGTAGATACCGGCTGCGGGTCCGCCGAGGGATTCGACGACGTACCACGAGTACCACGCGTAGATGGTCGGCGTCCAAGAGAATGTGCCGGCCGAGTAAGGGTTTATGGGGGTTGAGGTTGAGATCACCACGCGGGCGCCGAGGGAGAGGAAAGTTGAGGAGGCGTTGCGAAGGTAGGTAGTGTATGTCTGCACTACTTCCGTTTGGTTGCTAAAGACACATAGTTAGATCGTCATCATTAGGGAGAAACATGACGTTCTCAATATCTATGGACGTACTTGAAAAGCACAGGACAGACATTGTCTCCAATGCCGGGACAGTCGACTCGGTTCTTGACTGTGTCGTTGATCGGGTTTCCAGCTAGAATTCTGTCAGAGTTTTTGATACTTGGGGAGTTAGGATCGATGCAGTTCAGATACGTACGTCCATCGTTGTGACCAAACTCAATCACAACCCAGTCCCCAGCCTTGACTTCGTCAATGATCCGCTGGAACCGGCCCTCTCTCGTAAAAGTGCGCGCGCTTCTCCCAGCATACGCAGAGTTATTGACTCGGATCTTTGACGAGTCGAGGGAGTAGTGCAGGTACTCTCCCCATCCCTGGGTCCCGTTGTGTCCACCGCCCGGTGCCATCGTGCTGTCGCCAGCAAGCCAGAGTACCTGTCGGTCGTCGATATCGGAACGCTCCGTGGGTGCTGCGAGCGCTGAACCAGCTCCCAGAAGGAGGGAAACTGCAGAAAACTTCATGGTCGACTTATTCTCGTCCAGACGGAGAGGGCTATGTTGGTAGAGACAGGCGCGAGGTCTTTCGAGCTGTCTCACCAAGCAAGGTCACGAAGGCATAGCTTCATTTTATTATTCCTCTTCCCATGGCGAGGGTGCCATTGACAGCGGATCTCGGCACCTAGAGCTATCCAGCGTGCCAGGGATGCCATCCTGTCTCCCCGCACCAGACTGAACTGACAAGCCCAAAAGCTGGGCATTTCCCCGCGTAAAGCAGGGGTCATTTGGAGGCAAAAGACACAACGGCGGGACCGCTAAGCTAGATGAATACTGAAAACCCGTTGCTCAATTTGCGCACAAGTGGGAAAGCGATTGCATAGCGTCTGTTGAAGCGCTCCTTATTCGTGGGAAGAAGGTGGGTGGTTTTTGATTCGGGCCAACAGGGGCCGAGTCTACCATTGAGTAGGCTTTCGGTTGACCGTTTGCCGAGTGAACCCGGGCAGATGGATCTTGACTCCGTGGGGAGATGATCGGGGTAAGGGTCCGTCTGATCCGGGGTTAATTAGTTCCTCTGCACCCGGAGCTGCTTAGATTGTTTGTGCTTCATTTGATAAGAGGCGCTTCATACTCATTCATCTAAATGTTTCGTGAGCTCATCTCACTCAGATCTCACACTGAGTGAGATGAGCTCAGAGCGACCACTACTGGTGTAGGATGCAGAGTCTGAACGTGCGATTAACTAAGTCAACATACCCACTTCCTGGCACCCCCCTGTTTCTGGCACCACAAAAACGATGGGATCACAACCCAACCTCCTCATTACTATTAACTATTGATCCTCAACCACACCCACTACAATACAGCTGCCAGCCTCACTAGGGCATTCAGAGTCGCTGGATTCAGCCGTGATAACCTCCTTTTCACCCGCTTCGATTTGAGCCCGATGGATATCCCTGATGTTCGCGAACTTCGTATTGGGATCG